CCTGGCTGCGTGTGTTTAGAGATTTTTGACCACAAAGGAGCGTTAAAAAACACCAGCACGTTAAAATCCAAATAATTAACAAATATGATGCGAGACCAAATCGAGGCAAAAAAGGATCCTCAGACGAATAGGCGAGAAGTAAAAGCACCGTGAGGTGTGAAGCTTACTCGTACTAATTACGATTCCGTGGGAAAAATCAGTGAGTGGAAAAGGCACTCCCAGGCAATGCTTTGCAGTGCTTAAAAAAGAAATTCGAAGAAAAGGATTGGAGGTTAAACATAAAAAAACAGAGAAAAATAAAGCAATCCATTTGTGAATCATAAGAGGGGCACCAGTCAAGGCAACTTCGTTGCGAGTTCGAAAACAAAAGACAAAAAGCCACCAAATACCGAAAAGATGGCAGTTATTTACAATTTGATAGAAATGTTGTTGTTTTAATCAATAATGGTTTGCCTATTGGTACGAGAATTTTAGGTTGTGTGACACATGAACTACGAAAAAAACGCTATTTGAAAAGTTGAGTTAGTTTTGTTGTTTCTGAAGCAAGTTCCTGGGCTTATAGTTTAATTGGTTCAAACGCACCGCTCATAACGATGATATTGTAGGTTCAATTCCTACACTCTCATTTTCTAGATTCAGTGCCATTCCTTTAACACCACTGGAAAATTCGACCATTTCTCCAGCTTGAATCTTGTTCAATCCATAAAAACTTAATAAAAAGATTCCTCGTTGCGCGAAAAACATGTTGCGCACTTGACGTGCGTAACGTATCAAAGTCATTGGTTTATCATAGAGACGATTTCGGGCAAAAGAAATTCCCATGGTGTGACGGGCGGTGTGTACAAGGCCTGAGTACATATTCACCGCGGCATGCTGATCCGCGATTACTAGCGATTCCAACTTCATGTTCTCGAGTTGCAGAGAACAATCCGAACTGAGGCAATGTTTCTCGAGTCCATCGAATCGCCCCCAAAAACCACCGGGCGATTGATCTAATTGAGGCATTTTTTTTTGTACTTTTTTGCCGATTTCGGGCAAAAGAAATTCCCATGGTGTGACGGGGTTGATGCAAAGTGTTCCACCAATTTACAGAGCGAAGTGACAATAATCGCGTAAAAGGTTTTTTTTTGAATTCAGTAAATGGAGGTTTGATACTCTGACTGTGGTTATGTTAATTGTGGTCACTTTTGTGACCTTGATCTCCACTCTTCGGATTCTGCATCACAGAATCAATCCTGCTAACCATTGTAACTGAGTCTGTGCCTGTAAGTTTCGAGCGGAGACGAAACTTCGTAGTAATAAAATAAATACGCGTGTCGTATTATTATAGTGAACCCGGGCAGAATGTGAATTGACTCTGTTTTTTGTTCGGACTCTTCACGTATAGTCTCTGAGGTGTTGAGGTCCGAAATTGAAAGTCAAATTTTTTAGCCGAAAAGTTTTTCATAGTCAATTGAGAATGTTCTCAAATTTAATTTCAATTTCAAATTAATCGCTTGAACGCGGAACCTTTGTGAGATTGTATTACAAAACGAGTTTGCGGTCAAAAAACTTTTGGCGAAACTTTCAAGGGATTTTCGGACTAAGCTCATAAATTTTCTACTGCAAAAGGTGCCTCTGAGAAAGAAAAGCTGTATTGTGCCCGGAATGAGTTCGTCATTCCAGGTGTCTTTCATGCATGCTCCACGCGGGAAAAACGGGATTTGAACCCGCGAATTCTGGCCGTGTGCTTGGAAATCTTGCACGCACGGTTCGGTGTTCAAAAATTTCGAAATGATTTTGTATTTCTGGGACGTCTCGAAGCTTCAAAAGCTTTTCAAGCGAGGTACCGTCAAAACGACGCCTTCGGCGCCTTCGGTCGGGGACCCGGCTCTTGCGAGCCCTTTGGCACGCGTCCCCTTTTTTTTTGTTTTCCTTTTTTCAGTTATCAGGAGTAGTAGTTGAAAATGCCACGGGTTTTTGCATTGTAAAATGCAAGTATATCTGCGTGGTCCATCGGGATCATAATTCTTATTGGCATAGGAAGGATATAACCTTTGTAAGTGCGTCTTACAAATCCATACTTCTTAAGTCGTTCTACAAGCTCCTTGATAGGGGCTCGGCGGAGAATGAGTCTCGGGTGTATCCTTCTTCGGTATACTTTTCCGTGCGCTTCGCGCCTAACCCAAGAGACTTGATTTTGTGCCTTCCATTTCACGGCATGAATTTGGGTACTTAGGAGAGATATCCCATTATGACTTTTTGTGAGAAATCAGAAGAAACATAACAAAACAAAAAGCGCAGACGGGAAGGAGCCTAAATCGATGGACTCGAAAGAGCGGGGAACCTGCGGCTGGATTGACTCCTTTCCAATATATTGGACAATGATTCGAAGACTTTGTCGCATTTCGTACAGAAAGCCCTCACCGTGGTGCTGGACAGCGCGACGTGCTTGGTTTCGCGGTCCAAGTCCGTCGATTTAGGCCTTTTAAAATCCAAATTCGTATCAGTTTCCAATAGGCACTTCTCAAAAAAAGAAAAATAAAATTTCGTGTTACTGGAGTAAGATAGAGGAAAGTGGAATTTCTAGTGATGTTTCCGCCGGGCCAGCGGCACGGGTTGCGTGCCCCCCGTGATCACCAAATGAAATTAAATAGGCCGCCGCTTCGCGGCGGTAACAGTTCGTATGATTTTTTAAAAAAAAGAACATTTGAAAAAGATTGTCGGGTTTTGTTTTATTTAGTCAAAAAACTTTTGGCGACAAAAACCGGCAACCGGCGAACCCTATGGAAGACTTCATCAGATCCAATGGATCCGGGTTTCAAAAGACTCTTCTATGTAAGATATGCTGATGATTTTTGGAACTGGAAGTTTTGAAACTGGTTGGTATACTACCAGTGATCCCCTTTCACGACGAGCTTGAGTCTTCGCAGCGAGTTCGATTAGTTTTGGAAATGAATGGAGAAGTGGTGGAACGTGCAGAACCACATATTGGTTTTTTTTTATGGCAAGCCTATCTTTGGTTCTATCGTTTGTAACAATTCCTTCAAAGCATTTTTTCATTTTTTTATAACGCGGCAGGGACAAGTAGGTTATCAGCAGGAAACCACAAAAAAGTACGGCCGAGCTGGGAGTCTGGATTTCGGAACCTGGTTACACGGGTGAACGGGCAACCGTTGCAGTGGAACTTTTGGGCATTCAAACTATTTATCATTCCATCACACATGTTTTTTGTAGCTTTTTTTTGGGCTTTCTTTCATTCAAGTCTGGCGCCTACGGATGTGGCGGCGCTTCGCGCCTTGTGGGTTCGAGTCCCGCTAGCCGGAAAACCAGCTATCTCCGAGTTTGATTGGCCTTTCCCGAAGATCTTTTTCTATTTTCACAGCAATTTGCTTCTCCGCCATCATCTTGGTCTGAGGGGCGATTACGTGAGTGAGTGCCATACGTAATCGCCCCTCAGACCACCCAGTAGAAGAGGGCAATTCATAGATAGCAGGTCGCAAGGCTGAAACTCAAAGGAATTGACGGGGGCCTGCACAAGCGGTGGAGCACGTGCCAGCAGCCGCGGTAAGACGGGGGGGGCCGTCTACTTTCAATTCTAATTTGCTGGATTGATCGATGCTGAGCTCTCGTATCGTATAATGAGACTTTTCTTCAAATTAGTGTTATTAGGTCTTGATTTTTTTGCTATGATTTTTAGCAATCTCAGCTATTGGTGGGGTTTTGGATCTCTTGCGGCGGTGGTCCCCATCTTGAGTTCGTCAATTTGGGTGTCTCCAACCACGCGGTTGGATAAATAAAATAAGTCGTGTCCATCTCGCTGCGGACTACTGCGTGAAGTAGCTGCTTTTGCTCAATTTGGCTCAGATGCAAAGCACTGAAGATTTGACGCGTAGTGTTGATAGCTGCGAGCGGCCGTACTTTTTTGTGGTTTCCTGCTGATAACCTACAGCAGGTCGGATTCCACGATAAAACAGTTCTGTTTCCAGAAAATTGACGATGGCCCGGTGGGATTGAATTCATTGATTGCGGATTAGCATACCGCGGTGAAGTGTTTGGTGTACGAAAAATGATTTCGCCCGGTTGGCAAAGGAAGAAGGTAGGTAAGGTACAGCATACCGAGCAGAAAGGGAAAGGAGAATAGACATGGACCCCGGGATGCGAGCGTGACTCGAACAAAAGCGGTTCCGCGTTGCCGAACCAATGAACGAAAGGCTGCCTTATCGGACAAAAGACTAGTGAATCATCGACCGCGTCACCAAGATGGCGTGCAATGGCAAGAAACTGACCCAACCACGTCACCAAGATGACGGCGTGCAATGGCGGGAAACGGACCCGGCCACGTCACCAAGATGGCGTGCAAGGGCGGGAAACTGACCAAACCAAGAGCTGAAGGGAGAGCCAGATGCCCCCGAGCATACAACGCCCCAAAACAACATGGAAACAAACTTTGTGAAATGATTAGATTTGATTACATGGTCGACTGCACTCTATGGACATTCTTGTTATGAAACTATGACGAAGTGAATGCGAAATGCATCACTGGACTGCTGAACTGCGACTCTGCATCATAAAAATGCTGCATAGCACGATTAACTACACACCATCTGGAACTAGATGTGTCTATATCTACGAGTACCTATGTATCTATACATCTATCTAGTATATATTCAACTATAGCTAGGTATATATATATATATATAAATGTATATATATCGTCAAATAGAACTGCCCGGTAAACCGTAGGCAGAGAGGGAGAAGAGGACAACAAACGAGGGGCTGTGACAAACTGTTTCGTCGGAGTTTCACCGACTCATCAGGAGGCTGAATATATATATATATATATATATATATATATATATATATATCGTCAAACAGACTTGCGCATGGTAAACCGTAGGCAGAGAGGGAGAGGAGGACAACAAACGAGGGGCTGTGACAAACTGTTTCATCGGAGGTTCACCGACTCATGAGGAGGCTGAACCCTATATGTATATATTGAGAGAGAATTTGAGACCTTAACATGATGTCGAGGTTGATTACGAAACTCGTTCCCCTGTGATTGTGTGCAACCGTGTCCACTGAATTTGTATGACATGAACAGGCAAGTAGCTTTCACTTCACTGACTTGTATGGATGATGCACCCATCCCACCCACCACTACCAGCCAACCTCCTCTCCACAGGTCCCTTCCCTCCCCCTTGCCCTGCGATCCATTTCAGTCATAAGGAAAGCAAAGCACAAACATCGTAACGGAGGAACAATCATTTGGGGGCGTGAAAAAAACAATGGGGGGATACCCAGCTGCAGAAGACTCAGATCTCTCACAGATGATTCTTCCGCACTTGCCTCATTCTTGTAAACACAGCATGTTCAGAACTAGCACATGTATACAGCAGTGAGAACTGCTTCTGCGGGCCCGGAAGAGCGGGCCCAGAAGAAGTGGGAAGGGAGGGGAGAGGGGGGGGGGGGGGGGGTGAGCAGGGGAAGGGACAGTATGACCATTAAGATGTCCATGGGCTTGTCTGAAGTGTTCTGATGCTGCCAACTGTGTTGAAAGATGAACACCGATAGACACTGCTGTGCCAGAGTCATCAAGACACAGCGTGATCAACCAGTCAAAAACGATAAGGACGACTCGCCCAGGAGGGAGGAGGAGAGAGAGAGCGGGGAAGTTACCAAGACAATGGAAAATTAAACTCCCGGTCAAAAATGAACTCAAACACTTGAGCGCAGCGCTCCGTGGTTGGCCGCACATACCGTCAAACTACCTCCTTCTCCCTTACTTGCTCCTGTACTTTAACTTGTGGCCTCTTTTTAGTGAACGCCAGCAGCTTGTTCAGGGCTCCAATATAAGCCCTGACGCTCGAGACGACAATGTCTTCCCCTGCGCCACTACCACTGCAAACCACAGAATCAGTTCAAGCCTCAAGGTGAGTTATCGTGCCTTTCTTTTTCTTTTTCTCTTTCGTTTTCTTTTTCCTTGTTGTTCCTTAGTGACAATAATTATTAATTTTTAATAATTTCCCTGTTCCAGATATGTTATCTTCAAGACTGATCAGTGCCGTCTGGCTCACATTCGAAGATGTGCTTCTGTGTGTGAGGAGTCAATCTCGGCATCGTAGGACATCACAGGATGTTTTGTTACAAAACAAACAAAAAAAAAAGGAATACGCGCTGCTGTGTGCCATAGAATCTGGAAGGAGCAAACTTCCCAACGAAGACTGTGAGCCGTAGAGACAGCAAGCAGCGAGGAGAGAGGGAGAGTTCAAGATCTGAAGGAGGGGGGGGGAGTGAGAGAGGGAAAGAGAGAGAAGGAACTTTTCCTTTAAACCACCACTACGGTACTACCACTCCCCATGTGGGCCGCCTTCGGGCCCTCGATTCTTTAGGAGGCCGAAACAAAACAACGGTTGCTGGCGAGGTTTATAAATGGCGGCCGCCATCGGGCCCAGGGTCCGAACTTCAGCAGTAGGCCATTTTCCTGTTTTCCCAACAGTGGGAAAGGTAGTGGTGCTTTAAGAGAGACAAAGGCAGAGAGAGGAGAGGGGAGAAGCGGCAAAGAGTGCAGTGGTGAGTGAGTGAGTGACAGACAGACAGACAGACAGACAGACAGACAGACAGACAGACAGACAGACAGAGAAAGAGGGATGCTGAGAGACAGAAGGAAGACTGTGCACTGTTCAAGCACGCCTGGTCCAAGATAAGGGGCAAGAGAGAGGTTGACGCGTGTCTGACATGCATGCATGTGTGTTTTAACTTTTAAATTTCCACCACAACCCTTGTTCCACCCAGACAAGTAGATTCGAGTTGAGCCAGCCCAACAACTAAGGGATTTCACCTCTTTAGCAAGCAACATGAATCATAATAGAACCGTTTAGAACTGTGTTTAGTTGGTGTTTCTTCGGGGCAACAGCTCCTCTTTTACTATGCCTCACACGTACAAGGCTGCCCATGTCGATGGTGGTTTAGCGGCAGCTGCCCACATCTCTGTGTGCCTTAACGGCCCACTTGCATGTTATAACAGGAGGCAGAGGAAAGGGGAAGGTATGCTCCTGTGCATTTCACTTCAGATCTTCATAACCAGTTCATTTTCGCTTCAGATCTTCAGCTTATACTTTGTGTCTGTCGTTCGACTTCGTACTCCTGTTCATTTCATTTCAGATCTTCGGCTTATACTTTGCCTGTTCTCTTAACGATTCCCATTCGTATGTATTTGCTAGTAGCACATAAGGGGAGCGTGGAGTGGAAGTGGAGGGAAAGGTATAGAAGGCGGAGTTCTGTAGGAGTGTGGAGTAGAGGGAAGTGGAGTGCAAAGGGAAGGAGAGAAATATGTGAAGGGTAGGATGGAGTATGACATGCAAAGGGCAGGGGAGAGGTATAAGACAAACTTCACAGAATTCTAAATACTCACCGCATAAGATTCTAGAGTAGTCTGATCTAGAGGTCAGACTACTCTTCGTGTTAGTGTTTGGGTTTATAGTGGCCACTTACCATAATAGGCAATATCTGCTCCTCGCAGAATTCTAGTGGCCATATATGACGAACTTCGCAGAATTCTAAATACTCACCGCTAGGTCAGACTACTCTAGAATGGCACATGAGGTCAGTTAGTGTTTGGGTTGCATAAGATTCTGATGTCAAGGAGCGGCTATTGCCTATTATGGTAAGTGGCCACCCCCACAGACCGGACAGGACCGGTTCGGGTGTGGACTGTGGAAGCACAGCATGCAATTTTTGCAGTCCCAGTTGCTACATTGAATGGTGTGGCGCAGACAGATTTCACAGACTACGTGGCTCCGACATGCAAGGAACACGGAGGCATGTCGACCGCAATTATAGAGGCAGTGCCATTCCAGCCCGTCTACAAATTGGACATGACATGTCAGGGTGCTGTACATGAGTACAATAGTGACTGTCGTCATACGTATTAAAGCAAAAACTCGCATGGACTATCGCTTCATAATCCTCACGGCACAAGGCATGCAAGCCACATGCTAGTTGAATCGCCGCCAGGGCACCACAATGCGCCATGTGACATATTTCTTGGGTTCCTCAGTATTTATTCGTTCTTTATGGGCAGACGAAGACAGGGCGAGACAGAGCGAGACCAAGGGCCTTCTTCTCCCCATGTGTGGCCCCTGTTCTCTGCTGCGGCAGCAGTCGACTACTAGTTATAAATAGACGCACATACAGAAGGCCAACCATATCTCAAAGAAAGTTCATGAAGGATTTCCTGCACCGAGTCCCCCGAGTAAATATAAAAAGCGCAATGCAGTGTTTGTCAGTGTTCGACCAGTTCCCTTCTGTTTGTCGATGTTTGCCAGGGTTGAGCGCTCTCTTGTCACACCCACAAATTGGGGGAAAAGGTGCAAACGGAAGTAGGGTTGTATCCCAAAGAAAGTTCATCAAGGATTTCCTGCACCGAGTCCCCCGAGTAAATATAAAAAGCGCAATGCAGTGTTTGTCGGTGTTCGACCAGTTCCCTCCTGTTTGTCGATGTTTGCCAGCGTTGAGCGCTCTCTTGTCACACGCACAAATTGGGGGAAAAGGTGCAAACGGAAGTAGGGTTGTGATGCGTAGTCGAAGCTAAAAGCCTCTGTGGCGATCGACAGCAGTGTTAGTCCAGTCTCAAACAGAGTCTAACTTCCCCTTTTGGGGAATTGTAGCATTGTTAGTCTAGTCTAGTCCCCTCTTTGGGCCAGGATAGGCAGGCTGAGATAGTGAAGCACGGGACACTGGTTCATTCTGGGTTGAGATGTGGAGGGATTTCCGGCCTCCTTTTGGAATAATAATAAAGCAATGTGTTAAAAAAAGAAAAGAAAAAAAGGAAGGAAGTTGGGATGTGATAGACTGTTCAGTTAGACACACCAGGAGCTTGAACAATCAAACAGTGTGCACAAATCCCTAGCCCAGTGATGGCTGAGGACAAGCATTATAATCTCCTTTGAGTCCAGCAACAGATACCACTTCCCAGAGTGTGAGCACACACACACACACACACACACACAATCAGCCATGAAAAGGCAGGGGATGCCATAGACAGACCTGAAAGTTCGGGGGAAAATTTCTCCAGTCTGAGCATGTGTGGTGTCCGCTATCCCAAGCTTGTCACGAATCACCACCCTCGTCTGTGCGAGTGCATCTATGCCTTCGGTCACAGCAGTCAAGCTGTACTCCGTCAGCTCCACGTCCTCCTGAGACCCCAACAGACAATAGCACTAGGTTAGTCACAACAAAGCAATCGATCGTCATCTGAGCACATTGTCCCTTTGTTGATTCTAGTTCTTACACAGAAATCGAATTCCCTTGTAAGGGCAGAGAGGGAAAGGGAGAGAGAGAATGCACAGACGGAGAAAAGGACGAGGATCAACCACTACGCATAACGACAATAAATTGCATAGAACCTTGTGACAGAACAAGCACATGTGAAAATCGTGCAACGTACAGACAGAGAGAGAGAGAGAAAACCCTAGCCCTGCACAGAGGGAGAACAACAGGAGGATTACCCACTAAGCATAACGACAATAACTTGCACACAACCTTGTGAAATCGTGCAACACACAGACACAGGCAGAGGGAGAAGACCCTAGCCCTCATCCATCTCCACTCCACAGACGGGCTTTCTAGCAGACGGTTCCAGAGATACGGCCTGCATCGAAAGGCACAGGCCAACTGCAGTTGCATCCTGGAAGACTAGGGGTAATCGCAGGCTCTGGCAAACTACCGTCTTAACCTGAATAGAACGCCCAGTCATTATAGCTGTACAGGTATATATGACAATCTAGCTATGCATTGGCGCTTCGAGTCTGCTATGTGATAGTAATTGGCGAGACCGCGGAGAAGTCCGGAGATACGTGACACAGAGTTTCTCTGCGGATCTTGGAAATAAAAGAAGTTGGGTTTAGGGTTCCCCGATTTGTCACAAAAACCTAAAGCTGCCAGGCGGTGAAATGATTTTTGATAAGTTTTGCTTCTAGTTTACCAAGAAAGGGCGTAATTGCAAAGTATAAGAAAAAAAAAACTGATGCAATTTGTCCAATAGTTACATAGGGTGCTTCCACAGGTTGACATCCAATCCAGCCTAAAAGTAAACAATCTGCCACAAGTAACCAAAAAAGTTTTTGATGAATGGGTCTAAAAGTTGAACTTCGTACATATGAAGTGTTAATAAAGGTTGTAGAAGTCCACAACGAGACGGACACGACTTATTCAACGCCGTTGAAGATACTCGTAGTGAAGAACTCGCTGCGAAGACTCAAGCTCGTCGTGAAAGGGGATCACTGGGAATAGCCAGCCCTTGGTTGAACCCCGACCGTGTCTCTGATACGCAGCTGAACGGAATACTCGTGAACGTGAGATGCTGGTGGGATAATTTTCAGTCCAGATGGAGCAATAATGACCAGACGCTCTATTCAGGTGACGGCGGTAGGGAGAGGAGATAACCCAATGTGATTGCTTTTGTTGCAGTGTCTAAGGGAAACTAAAGCGCATGGACTGCGCAGTCTGTGGCGGCATTGTGGAACCATTCGGAGTACCAATGTTGGATTCTTACACCTCAAGTCTCAATGCTGTGGTTGGGTTTCTCCCTCTGCTACTAAACCTCTTCTTCCTCGCACTCAGCTCCTCCGCCTTGAACACAGAGCTCGCCTCACTCTCCCTGAGGGCAGAGCAGCAGCATGACTGCTGAGTGCATGCCCACACTAGTGGCACTACTCATTGCACCAAATGATATACTTGTGCCTCATGGCTTTACAGCGGCTCTTGGCCGAGAACTTCCAACTGGCTTCTCAGTGGACCACACGCGGAAACATCATCACAGTCTGTAACTCAGCTGCAGGGCCTGAATCGTTTTTTTTTTTTTTGTTCTCCAACACTAAATGTCGCACAACAGATCAAATTACACCAGAAGTGAATCCACACAATTGACAAAACTCCTTTTCCTCCTCTTCTTCCTCATCTCCCTCACCTCCTTATCCACTCCAGAGTCCACACACACAATGTCAACCAATAGAATCCCTGCAACTGTAGAAAAGAGTAAATCCACAGATAAATTTAGGACAAAATGGACTCTCTCTCTCTCTCTCTCTCTCTCTCTCTCTCTCTCTCTCTCTACCTACCTACCTACCTACCTACCTACCTACCTACCTACCTACCTACCTACCTATCTATCTATCTATCTATCTATCTATCTATCTCTGTGCCTCGTCATGGGCAGCAGCTTCACACTCAGCCTGCCACAAATCATGTGTGATGGAGTTGATGGTCTTCAGAGGCTTAACATCCTGAGCGCTGGCATATCACTTGCTAAGGCCGGCACACCAACCTCTTACAATGCGCACATCATGGTGCAAAGAACTTAATGAACCAAAATTTGCCATCCTCCTTCACATGGTCATTGAAGTGCGCATTCCTCAGTTTTGATGGGCTCCACATCCACACTCATATCTATCCACCTCAGCACTGCCGAGGCAATCACTGTGAGAAACAGAATCCTGGTGCGACTACCCTAATCGAATGAAACACCAATCTCAAGAAACGAGTCGCGAGGAGAAACCGAACCGGAGATCGAACCTCCTGGATGGCGCCTTCTCCAGGGTGCGGAAAAGGGGAAAAGAAGATCAGTCGCAATTTTCTGCACCTGTCCTCAAGCACACCCAGATACAGGCGGGAAATCCAGTCCTCCTTGCTTGCCCCGACACAGAGTGTTCAACGGGGACCTTGCCCCAACAGGCCAGATACCAGGCTCCCCCTTTTTCTTTTTTTTTGGTATTTAAAAAAAAAATCAACTATTTTTTTTTTCTTTTCTTATCTTTGCCTGGAAAAGTTGCACCGGAATATTCGTTGTACAACATACGTACGTTGTATTCGAATACAACGTACCTGGTTCATTGTATTCGTATACAACGTACGTATGTTGCTTTCGGGTTAAGACAGTAGTTCTATAGCTATAGCTATATACATTCTGGCCCTGGGTCACCTGACCTACTGGAAAGCTACCGGACCTTTCTACTCGTGCCCGAGTTGCTGCAATATCCCTACCAGGGCCCTACTAGATGCTACTTCTGTCCCTGTCCGACATACTAACTTCAGTACGAGCAAAATTTCAGCCCTCTACCCGAGTCTACAGACTTTACATCTATTTACTGATCTATGCCTCTCGGAACGTACACACAGAGCAAGAGAGCGGAGTTAGCGCACAAACACAGACTCCGCAAATATCAGGTAGTCTCACGGACGCACAGCACAGCAAAACAGACACGTAAGTTCTCAGCAAATCAAGCCAATGGATAGCAATTCCTCAGTCCTCTCCCTGAGTCTACTCCTTTTCACTAATCTACGTGTCCTGGGACATAGACACGCAGCACGAGAACAGAGTTGGCACACAGACACAGACACAGACTCAGCAAACATCAGATAGTCTCACGAATACAGACAGGAAAAAAAAACAGACACGTACTCGACGATCTTGGCAAATCAGGCAGGCAGACAGCAATTCCTCAGAAAATGCAGAAATCTCACCTGCAACTGTATGCGTCATTGCAATAGGGGATAGAATAGCCCGCTGCCATCTTCATCTGAATGGGCTGTATTTGGGGCGCTTTTCAGTCTAGTTACAGCAATAATGGCCGGCCGTTATATTCGGTTGAAGACGGTAGCCAAAGTTGCTCAAATGTTAGGCTTTTCGTATGGTTTTACACCACAGAAAGTTTGTTCATAACAGACAGCTCCTACTCAAATAGAACAACAAATACAAAAGCCACCAGTGAGCCTAGCTCAGTTGGTACACCCATGAACTGTTGAAATATGAATCAGACCCAAGTTCGAATCCAGATGCAAATAGATGGGAGAAAAAAGGGGAGAAAGTTTAAGATTGCCTGAACAAACCCACCCACTCGTAGATTGCCTGAACAAACCCACCCACTCATATGAGCCCAGGGTTCCTTTTGTGCGTCAAGCGTTAACAAGGCTTTGCTCATCAAAAACACACATTTGCTCTCACTCCTGCAATTTGCTAGTGTGAGCATGCACACCATGTGCAGCAGACCAGTGCACATTTTGCATGGCGCACAGCGTGTGTGGATGTTGCGTGCGAGCTGAGCTAAATGCCAATATGTACAGGAGTTCAATGTGTGCATGTGTTTGTGTGTGTATGTGTTGTCATGTTTGCAACTCCACAACAAAAACATGACTGTGCCACGCTGTGTGTATGTGTGTGTTAGTGTGTGTGTGACACTGTGTGTGTGTTTTAGATTTTCCCCACTTCCACCCAGGTGAATAGATTCAAGCAGTCTTTGTCCTATTGCAGACAACGAGAGCATTTGAGATGTCCAACATATTAAAGCACCATTACCTTCGTCGGTTCGAAAATACTCGGCCTCCGACCTTTCAGGAGGCCGAAACGAAAAGACGGCCGCCGATCAGATTGATCAACATCCGGCTCGGCCTCCTGAAAGTTCGGGTACTGGCCAGGACTTGTCGAAACCGGACGCCAAAGGTACTGGTGGTTTAACGCAATTTTATAATTAGACAGTTTTTTGGTTGTCCTTGGGGTACCCCTTTCATTGTTCTTGCAGCTCCCCTTTTTACTGTGCCTCTTACGCACAAGGCTGCCCACGTTGATTGTGGGTGAGCGGCAGCTGCCCACATCCCGTGTGCCTTCACGGCTCACTTGCACGTTATTTCAGGAGGCAGAGTAAAAGGGAAGGTACGATCCTGTGCATCTCTTCAGAGCTTCATACTCCTGTTCATTTCACTTCAGATCTTCAGCTTATACAGTCTTTGTGTCCGTCCTTCATCTTCATACTTCCATCTGTTCATTTCACTTCAGATCTTCAGCTTATACAGTCTTTGTGTCCGTCCTTCATCTTCATACTTCCGTTCATTTCATGTGTGTGTATGTGTGTGTGCATGTGTGTGTGTGACCAGCACGACAATTTACAAACCCTCAAAGGATCACTCACTCACCCTGATAATGTTGTCGATTGCCTTGTAACATGCGTCAACAGGGCCAGTTCCAACAGCAACCGCAACCCTTTCAAGCCCATCGGCACAGCTCAGCTTCACGGTTGCACTAGGAAGACCCATGGTTCCGCAGACAACCTTCATCATATCAAAACCACAGAACTCATCAAACATTGCACACGCAGTACACATAGAAAACAAAGAGCATGGTCATGGTTGCATTGAATGTATGTCGTCCCTAATGCTGTGGACATTATACCAAGACTGTTTGCTGTTGTTGTTGTTGTTGTTGTTGTTGTTGTTGTTGTTGTTGCTGCTGCTGCTGCTGCTGCTGCTGCTGCTACTGCTGCTCCCAATCCTTATTCACTCCCGAATATTACCACACAGCCGAACTGCCCACAATTTGCTGCTCAAACTTTGCTCTTCGAGTTCGTTGTTGGTGTTGTTGTTGTTGTAGCTCCCGTTCCTTCGTCTCTCCCGAATATATACCCCACAGCCAATGTGCCCACGATTTGCTGTTTGAACCAGGGCTGTGCCGGCAACCAGCCGGTTGGACCGGGCCGGATCCAACCAGGCCGGTTGGACCCCCCCGGTGGTCCAACCGGAATTCCGGTTGGGCCCAAAAGTGGGTCAATTTTTATTTATTTATTTTTTTGAAAACATGGTTGGACTGGGCTCGCCGAGATTTCCCCGAATCTGCAAAGAAAACTTTGAAGTTTGAACAGAGAAGTTTCGTTTGGGGGGTGGCAGGGGTTGGGGTTTGGGGGTTTGGGGGTTTGGGGGGCTGGGGGTTTGGGGACTTGAGATCAGGGTGTTAGTGGTGGGGTTTCAGCAAGCGCGGGCTTCAGCAGACATTGACAACAACGGACCTGGCTTTCTGCAAATGTTAACCTTCCGCCCAAAAACTTTGAAAAGGGGGCTGGGGGTGCTTGTCACTGCTGTCTGGTCAAAGTTGTTTGTCACTGCTGTCTGGTCAAAGTTGCCCTCGACACTGGTAGGGTGATGGTCCTGAGTGCTGGTCACACTGAGGTAGGATAGTAGGGATAGGGAGTGCGTTGGGCGCATCAACATGGGGAAGGGTAGGGAAGGTGGCCTATCCTGTCAGGACAACCACCAACTGCCGCTGCCAGCGACCGTGGGTCTAGTCCTTGGCCTCCACAACACCCTGGGCTTAATAAATAAATAATAATAATAATAAAATTAATTCTTAATAATTATAATTGTTAAAATATATATATATATCGTCAAATAGAACTGCCCGGTAAACCGTAGGCAGAGAGGGAGAAGAGGACAACAAACGAGGGGCTGTGACAAACTGTTTCGTCGGAGTTTCACCGACTCATCAGGAGGTATATATATAATTATTAAAAATAATAATAATAATAATCAGGGTAACCGGCGTTCAGGACGGGGCGAACGCCTGAGCCCGAACGCCCGAACGTATGGGACCCCTTGGGGATGCGTTCCGCCGTTCGGACCGAACGCGGACCAAAAACAAAAAAAAAAAAGAAAGAAAATATGAAAAAATGATATGTTATGAAGAAAAATAAATTAAACAAGATTTGCCTGAGAATTATATCCAAATTCTCTACCAAATTTGAAATAAAAATAAAATACGAAAAACAAATACCAATATGAAACGGTATTCACCAGTTCGAAGTAGCTGATGTAGGACCCAGGGTTCGATCCCTAGTTCTCCAACTTACCTGTGTACAATATCTGTGACAACTTGAAGAATTGAACCTGCGACCTGTAGAACCACCAGTGGTAAGTAGGTCTGTCGTAGGTCTTTAGGTAGCCAGGATTCGACCCATAGACCTGTAGAGTAGAAGTCCAGCTGCAGTCCTTCTAGAAGGTTGGCAAGT